GCAGTGGGGCGGGGGGGCACCGCCACCATGACCCCCCACTTTCACCCTCAGGCAGGGAGGCATGGGGAAGCCCTGCTGCTTGGACCACCACAAACTTCCCTGGCAGTGGCTCAAACTTGGGCCCATGCGGCCAATCGCCGCCTGCCCTCTTGGCAGCACATGTGCAGTGGCCAAAAGCGTTATGGACAGACAGATGCACAAAATGACTAACCCTTTTATTGTATTAGGATAGATAGATAGATATTCTTTTATGTGGGTTGAAAATTTTAAAGTTTTAGTGTATAAAACAGACCAGGAAACAGTTCTTTCATTTAAACTGGTTTGAGTCTAAAACTTACTTTTGAATGAAAACCAGTTTAAGTATACCTGGCCACATCTACATGAGATGCAGTAGCTTGTTAAGTAGCATTGTGTGGCATGAAGCATGACACAATGTTACTGTGCAGTAGTAACAAGCTACTGTGCAGTCAGCATCAACAAAAAGCTACTCAGGGACACTACTGCACAGTAACTCCAGTTACTGCACAGTCATTTAGTACTTGTGTTTGCAAGTACTAAATGACTCCACAGTAACAACTGTGCAGTCCGCATCTCATGTAGATGTGACCTCTATGTTGCAATGGTAAAACTGGACACATTTTGATGCAAATTTTCTTTGACCGGGCTTACGATGTATTTCTTTCAGTATGACAGAACAGTAATTCCGTTATCTTAACTCAAAGAACATTTCCAACTTTCAAGAATTTAGGCACAGAAAACAGCACAGTAAAGACTTGAAATTTAATTCAGATGTCAAAAAATGACCAATTTAATCTCAAGATGATATCAGTGAGAATAAGGAGCATAAATAAAGATAATTACTGGTTACTATTATATTTTGAATTGCATAAAATGAACGAGAAAGTTTCTCTGTTTCAGGAGTCGTTTGTGTGGAAGATGTACCAAGAAAGATGCTGGGATTTCTTCCCAGCTGGAGACTGCTTTCGTAAACAATATGAGGATCAACTTGGATAAGATTATCATCAGAGAAGAGGCTACATTTTTGAACTGTAAAATCAAGTCAACATGAAAAAACTCTTACTTTATATTTTTATGGTGTAAATTCAAAGGTCACATTTGCTTAATCTCTCTTTACCGTGAACTTTTTGTTTAAAAACCTACATAAAAGCTTGACAATATCTAGATAGGCTTTTTGTGCCTAGCACATAAGAAACACAGAAGAGAGAGAAATCTACACTGAAGACTCTGTTACTCTAATCTTTCCAATCCCAACAAGGACTGAAATGATTTTAATTGTTTTTACTCCCACTCCTTACCCAATGTTTGGTAGAACAGTTGAAAGGGCTAAAAGATGCATCATTTCTTACATGCACAACATCTAAAACTTTAGAACTTGAATGTCAGGTGACATGCCTCAGATTGTGAAAAAAATATATTTTAACTGCAATCTAACGTTTTCCATGGTATTTGCTAGTGAATGTATAAAACAAAACAGCTTGAAAAGCTTTAAGCAGTTAAAATAAAGAACATTTTCAAACACTTTATCGACCCTGAAATATCGATTAAGTGCCTTAAAAACCTCTGTAGCCATAGCTATGCAAGATTTTTATGTTAGTGTTTTAGACTGACAGTTCTATTAACTGTGTTGCTTTTCTGTCTTACTGTATGAAACTGCACTTGAAGGTTATTCTTTCAGTAACAGCTTATTAGATGCTGCTGTTAAAAGAAGTATACTGTACTACACATTCTTTACATTTAAATCTTAGGCCAAAATAAAATAATGCTTTATGATCATCTGTAAGTAGAAGCTGCTACCTTTATGCATTTATTTTTCTTCAAATAAAATAAAGTGCCGTCTGCAATAAAATACTACAAACCAAGTAAGTGTCTTGATTTTTGCTGAGTACCCAATATAAGGAATGTACATCGCAGAATGCATAATTAAAAACACAGCTGCATTTACCAGCATTGCTTTTATTTTGTGAACTACAGATAGCAAGTACAAGCTTAAGCAATCAGTCTGCTCTTTGCATATTTTGCAGCCTAAATTTACAGCACAGGTTTTTGAAAACATACAAAAAAACCTGGATTTAATTAATTACCTGAGCCTCCTTTAATGAACCCTAAATGCTAAGGTTAGTCATTTTAGTTTAGATGATAACATTCATCTATAATTTGTTGTTTTAAATATTGGCCGAAATAAAATTAGGCAAGCAGCATTGTTAACGTTTGAAATGAAACAATTAATTGAATTTTTGTAAACTAATCTTATGTACTTAACTTCTGCCACATTCATTTCTTTTTTAATTAATTGCAAGACAACAAAGTGTAGGCATCAGGAAGTTATTATTCCTTAAGAAATCATACTGTCCAACCAGTCTTCAAGCTCTTCCTCAGTAACAGTTTTAGATGTATTTTCTGATGCTGGACATTTTTCTTCAGTTGCATCCAGTTTTAGAGGGACTGGGAAAATAAAAAGAACAAAAGTGAAATACAAAAAACAATTCTATGCAGAAATCTGTCCCCATCCTCTTCACACAGTAATGTCTCAAAAAGTTTACACAATCTAACACAAAATACTATTTTTACAAAGCACAGCAGATTAAAGAGAGAAGATGGTATTTAAAAACAGTACAACTCTAACTGGAAAAAAATCACAAAAAGCAGGCACGTGAATAAAATGGCAAGTTTCTAGGGGTTGTCTCTTGACTAATCTGCTGGATTGTTTTAAGATGATCATATAGGAAGAGTTTACAGCTCCTCGGAGGTAGGGCCGGTTCTCCGGTCCATTGGATTCCTAATGGATTCCCCCTTCAAGAGCCATCCTCAAATTCTACCAAAAGCAGAATTTTCTCTTATGTAGAAGAACAGCAGGGGAACATGACAGTAAAGCTCTTGTCATGATTATTTAGACTCTGCCACATGTTCAAATGAAAGCTGGACAGGAATCATCAACATAGCTGTTACACATTTTCAAGCACTGACTTTGTAGCTGGTTAGCTCTTTTTATAGCTGGATATAGACCTTTTCATGGTGTGATAATTGCTTTGCAGATGTGGCTGATCTAAACCAGGTAACTGCACCATATATGTAATGTGTGGCAGGGGCTTTTGCGTGGCTTCACAGTGACTCCATGCTTACATTTGTGTTTGTTTTCTACTGAAAGCACACTACATGTCTCTAGCTTCTAATGAAATAGGTTGCTCCCTATGAATAGTTACCTCTCTCCACACCAGTTAGTTTCTAAGGTGCCGCCCTACCCTACCTCCTTAAGAATGCAAGCTCTGTTACAGAAATCAGACATGAAACATTTCAGGATTATTTTTACTGCAAGGTTAAGATTCATGTCTCTGGTTATAGTGGTGGTTCTCAACCTTTTCAGAGTCAAAGCACCCCTCCATAACTTTTGTAAACTGAATGGCACCCTGTTTCAAAAACTATTTTATTTACTATAGGGATTACAGCCTTGCCAGTGTTGCTAGGGGAGCAACCAGGCAGGGAGTGCCTGAGCCCATCCTTATCCATGCTTATCATCTTACTCTTCCTGCACCACCCTTCAAAAGGGCCTGGCACTATGGTTGAGAATCACTGGCTTACAGTGAATCTCTCATGAACAACTAACTCTGACCTTGGAACGTTTCACAATATATAATTGCATTATAAAAGGAAAACTGCAAGAAAATACCAATATAGTTTCACAAATGGAGAAAAGCATGAAAATGAACAGGTAAACATTACTTCACCAAACTCATTCCTATCTTATAAATGCCACAACCTCATCATTATTCAAGGTCCTGCCTGCTGCATGCATTTTAAAAGTAGTCAATAGTCACACAAATATCATTGTATACGTGAATCTGAAGTTAACGTGAATAAATTAAGAGCCAAAATTTGTCCAAGACCACTGCTCTCCATTAGGAATGAAAAGGGACTCAGAAATAAAAGCACCCAAAAATGCATCCATCTTCTATGGTCTTGAGAAAAAGTAAAAGTTAGAAAAGTTTAAAACCAATAACCAGAAATGAGCCCCCTTAATTCATCCTCAGACATATCACCAAGAAGAAACTGGGGATGATACTACTACTAAAAACTGAATTTAAGTCCTCCACTGACAGCTGATTCCCTAGGTATGTCCTTTTTATTTAAATTGTGGTAACTAAGAAGCAGAGCTTTGTTTTGCAGAGGAAAAACTCCACTCCTTTCTTAATGCTCAAAATGAACTTGCTGATGACAGTCGATTTTTACCAACACATCAGAGAAGTTCTTCACTGACACTCTACAAGTTGTCCTTGAAAAGGAAAATGCCATTAAACTCTTCAGTGTAACAACACTTCAGGGTGAAAACCTTTCATCAATTATTTATACCAGTTTTCTGCATGGTGATTTTTTCTAAAAAACATAATGTATTATAGCAGCTACCATCACTGTGATTGTGTTGCAGCTTGGTAGCTACTGCTGAGGACCATACACTGTTGACAGAACATTTTCCAACCCAGATAATCAGAAAACTAAGAGTATCTAGCAACTAACAGGATCTCTTGGTCCTCCAGGTTATTTCCACTCTATATCTGAGGGTGTTCCATTCTATATAAATCAATAGCCTAAGAAATCCACAGTTAGCATCTAAACTAGAGATGATGGACTTTAGTAAGAGTACTAGGGAGTAGGGGTGTGCGAAATGGGCCCTATTTTGATTCAGATTTGGATTCAGCCCGAATCAGGGACAGTGATTCTATTAGTTGATTCAGATGACTGTCCCCAATTCGATTCAGACGAATCTGAAGATTCGATGCTGATTTGGAGAATCAGCGATTCAGACATAGACACAGCTTTAAATGTTTTTTCTACATACCTCAAGGTACCAGGCAGGGCTGGTGAACGCTGCAATGGTGAGGTGGATGGAGTGTCCCACAGCAGTGCAGGGAGGGCCACCCACATACTTCCAGTCCACTTCCAGGTCTGCCGGTGAGCATACAGGGGAGCCCCCCCGGTGCCCCTCCCCGGCTCAGAGATCGGCCACGGGGGGACCTTGGATGCCCCCCCCCCAGACCTCCCCAGTGAACCTGGAAGTAGATCGGAAGTGCTTCTGGTCTGCTACTGAGCACATTGGGGGGCCCCCCCAAGCTCCTGTGGGACACTTCAGCTGCCCCAGCATCACAGTATTCACCAGCTGCCTGGTACCTTGAGGCATGTAGAAAAAACATTTAAACCTGTCTCTATGTCCAAATTACTGAATCTTTCTGAATCTCTCTGAATCAATTTGGAGGGTTCTGATTCGATTCGGAGAGATTAAAGGGTCCTATGATTCAATTTGGAGATTTGGCCACTAAATCGAGCCAATTCTCGGCCGAATCAAATCAGGCACCGAAGCTTTGCATAGCCCTACTAGGGAGCTAACAGCAATAAGGAGGAGGAGTCTGTAGTCACTGTGAGGTACGTTAATTTTAAAGGAACTGCCCCTTGTTCCATGAAGCTCATAACTGAACCTCTTGTCATCTTGCTGTGAGCTGCATCTCAAAGATGCCAGGGTCCTGCTTTTTTATTTACACAGGGGTCTTAATACATCTGCAACATGGCAGCATAGCAGGTGGCTGGCACAAAGCCCAGAAACAGGTCTGTGAATGAAGGCCAACAGTTGAATACAAGCTCTTCTACACAAGAAAGAGAGGGAGGTGCACCACTTTGTGAAAAAAAGAAAAAGAATATGAGTTGTCACACTGCCCTATCCCTTCAGGGTCTTAAAGAGTTAAAAACAAGGTTTTTTTTAGTATGCCTTATTAAAATCCCCAAATACTTATCTATCAAGATACGTGCATGGAGCTCTAGGCTGTATCTGCTATAGCAGAAGCAATTGCCATGAGAGAGCACAGAAGTCTGACAGGCTGTTTTGTGTCACACTAGTAATAACGTGCTCACTCCAAAAGAAAAGTGGAGTGTATAAAGAGCACCTGGTGTTTACTGTAAAGGAAATGATGCTCTCTGGTGGTGGACAGGTACCTCTAAGGAAGTCCAAAGTAAAAATTTGCCCCCAAAGTTGAGCCAAGATACACCTTGTGTGTTCACCCTGAGGTAGATGGCTCAATGTAAGTGGGCTTCCCAACCCTGGGAGCAAGGTGATTTAATATTCATGTTCCTAGATGCTTTAATATCACCTACTTTGGGTAGCCATATTAGGAGAGCTGGCCATGTGCCTGACCCTTTCTACAGAGTAAATTACCCCGTACTCCACAGTAAAATTACTCTGTAATAATTGCATCAGGTATCCATACCCATCATCAGTTATTATTGGGGAAACAAAGAAGTTAGATCATCAAATATTTTGTGCTTTCATCCACCTAAGAAATGATCTCTGTTCTACACAGATCAATTTCCACAAGTCAAAAAATGAACAAATTATGGGGAATACACTGTAAGTAGCATCTAAACCATGTTATGAGCAAGGGATGTTAGAGAAGGCAAAGTCAAAATGCCAAAGAGAATTATATACTGCTATGTCACAAAGAAGTTGGTATGTACTCATGTTGCTGTATCTGAAAACCATAAATTAAACTTGTGTTTATACCAATAAGGTTTAGCCATACTGGTATATGCAGCAAGTTTCAGAATTTCAATGTACCAAATAAAAGGACTGCTTCTTTGAAGGGACTTCTCATGGGAAGATTAAAAATGAAAGAACAAATGGGTTAGTACACACCAGATCAATGCCACAAATTGTCAGGGGCATAGAGATGATTACAGCAGCATTGCTGAGGTACTTCCCAGGAGTTTAACTAAAGAAGAAAAAAAGAAGAATACAGACTACACAGAAGTAAAAAATATAAATCTCACCAGCTGCTTTGTGATTGGTTTTCAAATCTGCCTCATCAGTCACGTCATAGGTCAATGCACCTGACACAGAGCTGTTTTCTGAATTAACAGGAGCATCTAAATTTAGTAGTAAATCTAGCTCTTCATCCAAATGATCCGTCTCTTGCTTTGGTACAGAAGAGCCTCTCTGAATGGGTAGAAAAGAAGTTCTGCCAAGTCCATCTCTACTTTGAGAACAGGTAACAGAATCACTGATAGGGTCAGAGATTGGCATTATTCCACTTTGAGCCAAAGGTTGTCGTAAGTGAGTCTCGCTGCATTTGCTGATTTCAATACTTTTAGATTTCATTTGAGGCAGTTCTACAGGTGTTGATGCCTAAAGAGTACAAGAAAAGACTTGGGTCTTTATAATGGTGAACTCAATTGTTACAGTTCAAATTAAAAAGATAGCACAGTAATTCAGACTCCCACACACAGTCACTTAAGGCAGAATTAAATTCAATGGAACAGATTTTAAAACGACAAGAAAGTAAACCTAGTACAAAAATTAAATTGAAAGCATTTGTACAGTTACAGATATACACAGATGTGACTGTACAGTATTCTAAAATGAATCATGAGGCTATGTGCTGAATACAGCAAACAGCAACTTGAAACAAAGAAGCAAATTACTGCCTGCAGAGCTACCCACGTTCACTCACTGAAATCGGGCTCAAATTAGAGAATTTGCTTGGGTATGACCAAGGGCAGAATTTGGCCTAGTATCCATTTCCCATTTTAGGCTTTCCTGTCAAAATACCAACCACTGAGTCCGTCATTCTCTCATGTGACCTCTGGCATATAATCTGGGTTTGGAAGAGTTTAAATATTTAAAATTTTTCAAGCTGTAACAACAACATTAAATATAAAATTTGCAAAAATACTTTCATATAGAAATACCAAGTTCTCAGCCACTTAAATGCAGTTTTTATGCTCCATCTGGGTTTCTTGGCCATTATCAAATTCCTAGCACAGTGCAAGTGGAGCAACATGATTTGCCCAGGGGCAAGAGTAAGCTAGAAAAATGTATATCCTAGCATACTCTGAATCAGTTGATGCAGTAAACTCAATGTTCCTAGTAGTGGTGTCCTCAAGTACACTGTGCTGCTCCAGGTGGGCTGCATCCTACACCAGAAGCAATGCTGCCATCTCCAGGCAGTGCTTGGCATGAGCTAATTGCTGATGCTGAGTGACAATGCCAATTTGCTCTCACCAATATAACCTGTACATCCATGCAAACAAGGTTTTGCTGCTTCCAATTTAAGAAGTAGCCTACACACAGAAGCTCAGCATACTTGAGGGTACGCAGAACCTGTGCGTGCACACACACACCCACCCACCCACACCCACACGCCCACACACCCACAGAGTAGGAATTCCTGCCCCGGGCCTAGTTACAGTACTCTTGTTTGTTTGTTTGCTTGATAAAACAAGAAAAGTACAGTAAACTAATAAAATCAGCCCCTTGGAATAATTAAGAATGGGAAAAGCAAGCAGCAAGCTCTAGCCATGGTATTTTGCTTGCAAGCAAAAAAGAACTGCATAGCGTAGATTTCCTCATAAACTCTACATCTGCAGACATCCCTTTCAGCTAAACTAAGAAACAAATTAGTTATGTCCTTAGCTGATTCACTTCAAGCAACTGCATTGGAAAGTAAAGATGCTCTTACTTTCATGCATGCAGTTTTTCCTCTCCAGGACAGATTGATTTTTTTTGTTGTTTTTTCTTCAGCTGTTGATCAACTGCAATCTGACTGTAATCTTAACTGACAGCTGTTTGTAACTCAAGAGTCTTATTAGAACTCTTCCCTCTATCTGAATATTTCTTTTTCATTGCCCAAAGACAGGGCTTACCTGACATGCTGTTAACTAATTTTCTATATCCTGAATAGAAATAACTTTTTATTCAGTTATCTGATTGATGGCTCACATTTTGACACAGACCCAAATCTGTTTTGTGCCATAAGCATGAATGCTGTGTCCTGCGTATATACAGGTCAGTAAACTAAAATAAAGGTAACTATGTATCAACTTGGCTTAATTTTTTTAAGAGCTTATAATTTCAGTTTTCCATCCTTCAGGGAGTTGCAGAGAAAGAAAAAATGAAATGGTGCAGTTACTGCATGCCAAACATTGAGGAGCTTGGCTTCCTACTCAATCCGCTGCACATGGAAATGCTCTGTTTATTCAAAAGGTCCCAGTGGAGCATAAAAAATGCTGATGCAAATATCTCTACTTCACAGACCTGCAACCCTCTGAATTTCATGCAGTGTTTGTTTAATACAACACCCACCAATTGCATTTAAAGACCAGGAGGTCACGCAGGTTTAAAATCCTATTTCTAGCCCAGATCATTCTCATTGCCTATGTATTACACTATTTAAATTGTTCCATAATTTTTTGCACAGCGGGGGTGTTACCTGCACAAGTTCAGGAGCCACATTCAGCCTGAGATGTAGAGGCAGTTCCTGAAGAGCTTGGACTAAAGACTGGCAGTCAACATAAAGAGCAGATAACTGAAATATAATCAAAACAGACAGAAAACTTGGGTAAAGAAACTGAAACGAACAACTCCAGTGTGTTACGTTGCAAATTTACACAGATGAAGACAATGCAAGCAAGAAAAATATCTACACGTCTACAAATAATATTCCTCACACCATTAGGAGGAACTGCAAATATATAGACTGAACATTGTATGTGCATAGAATAACTTGGTTTAAACAATACTTAAGAGGATAAACAAGTAGTGGAATCATTCAAGTAGTATGAAAACGAGTAACCAGACTTGGAGGCCAAGATTTCCAAGAAGGTAGGTTTGAGATGGCTCCCCAGCAATACATGGAAGAGCCACAATAGGAAATAACTGGTGTGCTAACAGTAGGTTTGTCCGAATATCCACAAAGCTTTTCCCCCTCAAACATTTTAAGCTGAAAAGTCTTCCACAGAAGGTGAATCATCACCGTCTGAGGAAGCACAAGCCCATTAGAAACGATCAATTTGCTGGCACTGGGAGTAACCCTCTCTATTTCTGATACTTAAACAACTGCCCTTTTAGTATTCATCTTCCCAGAGCTGTTAAAAACATTTATTTTAGGATCAACAAAATGCAAGTGGAACAAAGATTACCTACTGTTTTTGGACACTACTTCCATAAAACTGTCTTTGTTACCAGTCTACAACATTGCTACACAAAAATTTTATAATGCAAGGCTGATTTTAACTATTAATGTGGCAGGTTTTTGGATTAACGGCTTTCTTGTTCTTTTTAAGAACAAAACATTGAAAAACAATTGTGTGCAGAATGGGCTGGCAATGTCACTTTGACATTTTTAGAGCAAACTACCCTAAGTAAATTATTTACCATATGTAAAGTAAACAGCTTGGCATCTGTTTAATTAGAACAAAACACATTCTAAGCACACACTCACTACAGATGATGGATAATGTTGATGCAATCAGATTTTTTTTTTTTATAATAGTTTCTCCATGGCCATGTCTACACAGTAAAACTTATAGCTCTGCCCTCAAATACAATGCAGGGCTCAGGGCAGGCTGCTTCCTAAATCAGAAGCACATCAGTGCAGTCATGGGTGGTCAAATTAGCTACTTTACACCACAGTGCTGGTTCAAGGTTTAGAAAGAAGCATACCAGAGCACTGCTCCATGCTTGAGGGTGCTGCTTTCAGGAATAGGTGACTGGTAGGTGGGGGCATGTGCCCCCCCTGACAGTGCCACTCCACCACTGATGCTGCTGGCAGTGTCTGTGGGTGCTTGCCAGTTTCGTCCCCACCGCCAACCACGGTGTCTGCGGGTGCTTGCCAGCCCCCTACTCGCCGCCTCAGGAGGCTGGAGATGAACAGGGGAACAAGCAGGAGGTTGAAGACAGCAGGGGAATGTCTCTAGCTTGTCTCCAGGGGCTCGTCTCCAGCCTCCTGCTTGTTCCCCTGCTCATCTCCAGGCTCCCGTGGCTGAAGACAAGCAGGAGACTGAGCAGGGGCCTGGAGACTAGCAGGAGGCTAGAGACTTTGGAGATGAGCTGGAGACTTCCCCCGCTGTCTCCAGCCTCCTTCTCTTTCTCTGCTACTGCCGGTGAGTGTGTGTGTGTGTGGGGGGGGGGGGGGGCTGGGAGAGTAAGCAGGGAGCTGGGGGAACAAACAGGGATGGGGGGGAATGAATGGGGGATGGGGAGAATGAACAGGGAGTTGGGGAAAGGAACGGGGGCTGGGACTGGGCAGAGCCTCTCCCAAGGTCCCCTCCCCCCCTCCTCCAGCCCCCCAAACCCCTACTTACCTGGCACAGAGCCGGTCTAGGTCCCTGAAGCTTGCCGCAGAGGCAGGCAGCGTGCTTCAGCACCGGGGAAAGGGCCAACCACAGAGATGCTCTGGCGGGCTACCAGAGTGTCTCAGTGGAGGACCAAGCCTCTGGTTGCCTTAGGGCATGGTCGGGGACTGTGCCCTGACCTGTTTTTTTCCCCCTAGTGTATTGTTTGACCCCTGCACCAGGGGTCTAATTTTGCCCCCGGGCTGAAAATTTGCAGCACGGGAAATGTTTTTTTTTGTTCCCGCATGTGCCTCTTACAGCATCTCAAAGAGGTTTGAGGCACTGCAAGAGGCACATGTGTGCTTGCCTGGACGTGCCCATAATTGGCTGTGTTAGCCTAAGGTCAGGCAGAAAGCAGGGTACAGAACCCCATACAGACCAACTAAATTAGTGATGTATCCGTCACATCTGGAGAAAAGGATGCTGCATTAGCGAGGGGCAAACTAAGAGCCTGGAGTAGAGTTTCATTTGTACAGATAGATGGAAAAACTTAGAAATGTGCTACAAAAAGATTTGCACAATTTTAGGGTAGCCTGGATAAGAGAATCAAGGAAGACCTGAGTGAATGAAGGCCAGGTTCCAAGCCAGCATGATAGGTGGGGTGGCAGTGTTGCCAAGAGCAAATGAAGAAAGGCATAGGGAAGATAAAGGACAGGTCATAATGAAACAATGGCTAAACACATACAAGATGTCAAGCAAGCCAAGATTTTAAGCTTGGACAGAAAGGGAAGTTCTGGGAGACAGTGTTAGGGTAGCTTGTCACATTTAGCTTTAGTTGCACCTGCTTGAGTGGTGAATTACAGTATTATCTGAACTTTTCTTTTGCATTTTGTATCTGCACTGTCAGCTATTAGCCTTGAGGTTGCTTTCATGTTATGTTTTCCTTTTATTTTTTATTAATGTAATAAGGCAACTTATGTTTTAGCATTATCAGCCCAGGTGTGTAGAATGTGGGCCTTGTAACTAGCTCAAATTAACTGAACTTGGCATGGACTGACTGAATCAGTAGGATGAAATGATTGGATATGTTAATAAAAGATGCTAGCAGACCCTCCGCCTTTTATCAATGCTCCTGCCTAACCGGTGGTATCGTGCCCATCTAGTGAATGCTGTCACCATCTACTAAGTAACACCAGTGCTTGCACCAGCACTTTTAAATGTATACGTAAGTGACCTTCCTATCACCACCATCTGGAAATTCGGCTATGACGATGACCTGGCACTTGCTACTCAAGGAAGGACCCAGGCTGAAGTCCAGACAGATCTCTGCAAAGACCTCTAGTTACTTGAAGAAGATTTTGTGTGTTGGAGAGTGCCCAAATCTGAGGAAAATTACCATCATGTCATTTCATCTAAACAATGTCCAGGCTGACCAGAAACTCGCCATCACTTTCTGTGTAGAAGAGGTTAGGCATGAGAAGTTCCCAAAATACCTCGGCATAACTCTCAATTGGAGCCTCACCTTCCGTGAATATCTACAGAATGTTGCTTAAAAAATGAAAGAATGAGTCAACCTTGTGCATAAACTGGCTGGAATGACATAGGGAGCAAATGCAACCACGCTTCGAATGGCCTTTCTAGCACTTATTTTCTCTGCAGCAGAATATTGCTCCTCAGTCTGGAAAAAAAGCATGCACAGAAAGTTTGTTGATACACAGTTAAATGCAGCTATGTGGATTATATCAGCAGTGCTAAAAAGTATGCCACTGTCATGGCTTCCAGTTCTAGTGAACATTGCTCCCCCACAGCTCTGCCGCAATGTCACATGCGTGAGGAATACCATAATGCCACCAGGAACCGAAACCTCCCAATCAACAAGGACATCACTATGCCACCACCGGATAGGTTCAAATCTAGAAAACCCTTCTGGAAGTACGCCAAGAAACTCTATGACGATAACAAGAGCACCGAAGAACAATGGAGGGAAGCCTGGGCAAATACTAACTTGCTGCAGAAATACATTGTCAGCCGCCTTACAGCTCCCCAGCCAGGATTTGACCAACCAAGAAAAATTTGGTCCTCCCTGAATTGCTTCAGGGAAAATGTGGACACCTACTCCATAAATGGAGAATCAAAGAGTCCAGGTTGCAATTATGGTGCAATTTTTCAGACTGTGCAACACATTGTGAACGACTGCCCAATTCGATCATTTAATGGCGATCTAAAAATCAATCCATACAGCTACCCCTGGAGCAGTTGAACGATTATCAAATTTAGATATTAATGCATGAATGTCGTAATCCTAAAATGTCATATGAAAGAAAAATGAAAGGTGATAAGAGGAAACCAATTGGACAGTGTCCCACTGCAAAGCCCTTGGAATTTCCAGAGTTGATGGACAGACCAAATTTGGAGTCTGAAGGATGCCCAAATTAAGACACTAGTAAAAGACCAAACTAAGATGGGTTTGTTGGAACAAAGGAATATGCTAGCAGGATGAAAACATGAACAGTGTGATGATCACAGGGAAGTCAATCAATGGTACCCGGAAATGAAGAATCACTAGAGGAATGATGTTAAAGAAAAAGCATAAAAGGGGGGCAACAAGAAAGTTAAGTTTGTGACATTGAACAACAACATGTGGACTGAACAACAGCCAAAAAGAATACCCACAGATGATCACCCTCCACTTTCAGGAATACTGACTGGCCATCAGAACCTCTAGTGGAATAACATCTGGGATTGGGTAAGACCTTTGGACTAGGGGTTTTTCTCTCTATATGTATAGAATTTACATTTAATCTATTAATAAAGTTAGATTTTAGTTAAGTTAAACAGTGTGAGGAGCATTCTGTGTTCACTCTGGGTTGATTATCCTTTAGCAATCCTTTAGCACTATAGGTGCATAACAATAGCATCATACAGAACTCCCAATAATGAACTGCTCATAGCTTGAAATCAAAGGGTTTTTTTTTCTTTTTCCTTCCTCACTCTTGAACTTTCTTTTCTCTTCTTGTCCCCCTTTAAAAACACTAATTTATAAAAGACTCATGTGGGCAGGAGGAACAATTTATAAGTAGGGGTGCACTGATAAAGATTTTTGAGGCTGATACCGATAGCTGATTTTAAAGAGGCATATCATCTGATAACAATCCAATTTCCAATACCAGCCCGGCAGCTTGAAGAGCTGCGTGCAGCTGGTAAATCTGGTGTGGTGGAAGGGGAGGGCGGAGGGAGGAGGGAAGGAGCGTGG